TGTCGGCAGGACCGGGATTCACTGCCCTGTTAACGTGCAGATGTATACACACACGTATATACCTAGATGTAGTTGTTATGTATTTTATATAATTTATATCCTGTATAGATTTAGTGCCATGTTAACACGTGAGCTTGTCATATATATAAAAATCTATATGCTCCTCGCCCAGGTCCGGCTGAAGATGCTGTATGCTGCCACCAGAGCCACGGTGAAGAAGGAGTTCGGCGGGGGGCACATAAAGGACGAGATGTTTGGAACAGTGAAGGTACGGTGGTGGTCACTGGGCAGCCTGTTGGCTTCAGCGCGGAGGCCAGGTGGAAGGTGGGATGCTGCTGGGAGGGAACAGCACGGAGGTTTGTCCCCCACACCGGTTTAGTCTCCTGGGGGGCCGCCGCTTTCTCCTGCCTGCGCTGCTATGGTCCGTCTGTCTGTGCTGGAGACTGTGGAAGAGGTGGGAGGAAGGTTCAGACATCCAGAGCTTTACCTGGATGAGAAGAGGAGCGCCAGGTGGTGGCAGTGTCACTCCAGCACTGAGGGATGGAGGTTCCTCCTTCTCTTCCACAGGCTTTTCCCAGGGGGAGCTGCACAGCCAGGGATTCGCGGGCACCAGCCCTGCTCTAGGGCTTCTGATGCGGATGGGAGGCAGGGAGCATCCTCGGCGGCTGCCCTCGGTGCCCCTCTCCACTGCTCCCGGGCCCTGGTCTCTGTCTTTCCCTCTCTCTTGTGCTCATGAGCTCTGGAAATCAGCTGGAGGAGCCGTGCTGCCACAGCTGTGGGTGTCCAGGGAGGGGCAGGGTGGTCTGGTGGGATTTAGAATCATAAACTCACGGAATGGTTTGGGTTGGAAGGGACCTTAAAGCCCACCCAGTTCCAGCCCCCCTGCCATGGGCAGGGACACCTTCTACTAGACCAGGTTGCTCCAAGCCTCGTCCAGCCTGGCCTTGGACACTTCCAGGGATGGGGCATCCACAGCTTCTCTGGGCAACCTGTCCCAGTGCCTCCCCACCCATGGAGGTTTGTCCCCTGTGCTGTTTTAGTCTCCTGGGTGCTTGGCAGCCTCTGAGAGCGCTGCTGGGGTTGGTCCTGCTGGTAAGGACAGAGCCCGAGACACGCTGGGCTGCTCAGACGCAGCCTCCAGGCTGGGAGCGCATCCAGCCCTGCAGCCATGGCCACCCCCCGACGCTTCCCTTGTCCCTGTCCCTCTGTCTGCAGGAGGACGTGTCCCTGAGCGGTTACCAAAAGCACGTGTCATCCTGCTCCGCGCCGGCCCCGCTGACCGCAGCCGAGCAGGAGCTCCAGCAGATCCGCATCAATGAGGTGGGTGTTGTCCGGAGCAGGACCCCGAGACCCTCGGCACACACAGGGACATGGGATGCGGGGATGTGTTTGCTGCTGGAGGTGTGGTGTGTCCACCTAAAAGGGATGGCTTATTTTTACTGCGCTGTCTTGTACCTCTGCCGTTTAACCCATTCCTGCCCTTGCCGAGGTGGACTGAGCATCCTCACGGTCAGATTGGTGGCATAAAAAGGAATTTACAGACTCTTTATTTTTTTCCCCTGGCTAAGCCACGAGCTCAGAGCTGCTTCCCTCGCTGTAACTGGCAGTCAGTGAGGCTCAAGGCTGAAAGCAGGCAGCAGTCTCTAACCTCTAAGTATCGGTGCAACAGCCAGAGCTGAGTCTGAATTCGTGGGAGAGGCCGGAAGAATTCCGTCCTACCGTTGGGCTGCAGCAGCCTCCTTTCCCATACTCTTCCTCCCTGGCTATACATATGAGGGATGCTGTCCCAAGAAATAGAGATCTTGGCCTAAATTTGGGGGCTTATGTGTTGGCAGAAGATGTGGAAGTGGCAGGGGGTAGGGTTGGGGCAGACAAGGCTGTAACGCCATCATCTCCCTGCTGCAGTGCTACGGAACACCGAGGCAAGGGAGGGGACCGGCTCGCTGGGTGGGAACACCAGCTGAAAGCAGGATTTTGTTGGGGAGGGAGGATTTCACTTGGATGCTGTGGAAAGCCTTCCTCTCCTGAGGAGCATCCCTCTCTCCTCCGCCTGTGCTGGGGCTGTGGGACTCGTGGCTGAATCTGGATGTGCCTGGGGGGTGTGAAGCCAATCAGCCTGACGGCATTAATTAACGGCAGGAGACAAGGCGGGAGGTTTTCACCTGCCGGAGCGGGTCTGGAGGTGGCGGAGTTGAGCGGCTTTCAGGAGATGGCACTTAGGGGCAGTCTCCAACGCGCGGGTCTCAGCATGGTTAGCCCAGCTCCCAGCCTGGAGGGGCTGGACGGGATTTGTGCTGGAGGATCCAAGGTGAAGCCCACGCTTGGAGAAGAGAGAGACGAGTGCTGATGGTGGCTCTGCGGCTCATTTGGCACCTTTGGGTGCCTGTGCCATTGCCTTGGCTGGCCAGTGCTGCAGGATGAAGTGGTTTTGGGGGTTTTTTGGGGCTGTGTCTTGCAGGGTCACGTGGCCCAGGTAAGTGGTGCTCTCACAGTGCTTGTTTTCCCAAT